TCCCTCAGACAGGAGAGTCGCAGCAGCAGGAGCTTGATTTGACTCCTGTCGGTCGGGAGCAGGGCACCGGCAGTAACAGGCTCCGATAACTGGACAGCCAGGGTCACTAGCCCGTTCTCGAGGGTCTCATCCAGAGTGCGAGACCTGGCAGCAGAGAACTTGCGTCTCTGAACGGGGGCTAGTTTTAGTAGGGCCGTGGCACTGGGGCAGCCTGCCGTCAAACTGGACAGCTTGGCCAGCAGAAGTTCCAGCGCCTTGCGCATCAGGCTGGTCTGATGCAGGGACATGAGCCTGGAGACGGACTCGAGGAATGCGCTGCTGGAGATTATGGTGTTCAGCTATACAGAGAGGTGGAAGGACAAGCGAATTAGAATCAAAGTTCTCAACTGTAAAACTCCCAAAAAAGAAATAGCACTTTAAGGATGGATTAGGACAAGTCTGTAGCGGTAGAAAGTGGAACAAACTCGAAGATGCAGGCGATTACGGAAAAAATATGTGACAGCTGTTTATTCGTTCCCCTAAAACAACAATACGGTCAACCTCCCAAACGGATACTGCTTTCAGTACGTACTGCATATGGGTACAACACCGAGTTTTTTTGTAAGGAGGGAATTTCTTACTGCCGTCTTTCGGGTAGTCCAATTCACAACAATCACGCATCATTCAAAACAGATTCACAGGCTGGATTATTCCTCAGTCAACATGGAATTGGAGTACCGCACTTGTCCAACGGCAATCTATTTACATGGACGAGATTTACGTTAACCGTTTGATAACTTCGCACTTCTACAAAAAATTATGAAGAGCAATTTAACCGACCCGTGACAAGGGGATCACGAAAGAGGGGATAGCGTAAAGTATAACACACAGTGAAAAACCAGCCTTTTGGCGGAGGCCCAAACTCGCAACATGGGAGCGGTTGCCCGCAACACCTGTAGTTTTTATTTACAACGCTTTAAGATAAAGGTACGCAAGCAACTATCTATACAGGCAAAATCTTAACATCGACAATCCTGTTCTACTGTTCACTCAACAAGCTTCAGTGACATATTTTACACACTCCAAAACTAAGATATTCTTCGAAAAATTGTCGTAGAGAGGTCATGCAGAAGTTCCGTTTGATTAGCTAGAAGTCAGTCGCTCAATATTATAACCTTTTTACGGCTTTCTTAAGGTTGAAAAGCCGGGAGGGTGGCGGGGGTGAGACAGGGACGTAGATCCCAGTTCTTACCTTGACGAGAATCGACTGAAGATGATAAAGAGCCTGTTTGGCCTGAGGTTGGACGGTGGACTCGTCGGCAGACTGCTCCGAATGACCGGAACCAGTGGAGGCAGCCCCGACCATCAGACTGACCACATGCCTAACAACAGTGCCATAGGTACGGGAGAGGATCTCGGAGTCCTGTTGATCCTCTCGACGCTTTTCGTGACCACTGCTCTCGAGAAGGCTGGAGAATAGGGCACTGGACTGAGCAAGAAGACGCCAGACGTGCTCGTCGGAGAGTTGCTGGCGTTTGCTGTCCCCCTCTTTGAGAGGACGTTTCCGGCTCCCAGATAGCAACGGCGTGGACTCTATTGCCGTAGTCATCACAGTATCCTCCGGAGTCAAATATTTGATTACCCGTTTGCAGTTCATGCGTCCTTGGGACTCCTCGGCCGCACGCGAGGGTGAATTCGGTAAGGCTGGCTCCTGTTATGATGGAAACAGAATCACAAACCATGGATTAACTTGTGATCTGGTATCCTCCCAGGGTTTATCCAGTAACCGAGACCAGAAGGATGTGTTTATTTTTACAATCAAATGCTATTCCTGTCTGGAGGTGATTGTCTCAGGCTGCTAGTCTGCTTATGGCAGACGTGGAATGCCATGGGTAAATTATAGAATAGCGCCAGAAATGTGAAATAGACGCTGAATATTAGTGGAAACGGTCAACAATCAAAACTATAGAATAGCGCAGGTGAACGCAGTTTCGGGAGGTCTATTAAATCAGATCTTTTCGGTTTAGTAATAGGCTTCGAACGACGGACGACCCATTTCTTGCCTCAACTGCACTCGGTTTAAACAAATCAAATTCTCTGCGATCGGTGGCGATCTACCAATAGGCAAAAGTGGACCCTAGTAGCAGTGCGGTCACTTACAGGGGGTTTTTGGTATAAGTGAAGGGACTCAGCATCACTCACGTAGCCATCGCGGACGTTTTTAAATGAGGCGATACGCACTTGGTCGGCCGCATCCCAGCGGTTAAGTATTGAGAACTTATTGCCGCGTCATTGACTAACGCAATAATGCCTGGGTGGGCGGATTCGCAGTAGCAACTTCTTTAGAACTGGCCACCCATGAAGCGATACTGAATCGCTCAAAAGCCCATTTTGGAGCTCTCCCACTTAATGATCGTTTGGAAAGATATTAACTGCATCCTTGTGTCAGTTGAATTGGGGATTGCACAGACACAAGAGGCAACAATCTGATATCAACTAATGAGGCAGCGATAAGACCCGACAAAAGCGCACTATCACACTTGGTGCAGTTGCTGGCTAAACAGCCATACAGGAGCCGTGGGAAGATGACTCAGGACGCGAACCGTCAACAACGCATAATCGTTGGGATGGAAAGAAGTTGACTAGGAGTTACACTCGACACTGGCCGGGAAACAACACTGGGAACCACGAGATGTCTTGATAATACTTCTCCACTACGGTATTAACTAATCAACATAAAGAACTTTCCTACGCCATTTTAAAACTCTACCAGGCAAGTATAGATAGTTCCGCGATATCCGCAAATGAACGGCACTTTTGAGATGGTATCGAGGAGCCTCTTACCAAAATTCGTGAGGGCTTTGTGATCAAGTACTCAGGCTTAGTCAGTGAGGCAGAGAAATAGAGTAAAGATCATATTACGAAGACGCATGATAAATTGCCGGTGATCAGTGACTCGAGTATGGCCGGAAAAGGAGGTATGCAGCGGCCTATTTTCTGTATCCTCTAAAAAATCCAATTTCTGTGAGTTTCATTCTTTCGATTTCTAACCGAGTATAAACCATAAGCGTCGGCTTAGTCTAGAAAGAGATCACACTTTTCGCTCACTACCCGATAGACACTTTTTCGCATATACTGACAATAGGCGCACGACAATCTTGTGGTGTCTGGGTGATTGTGATGAAAAAGCAGTGCAGACGCACTACATGCCTCCGTGGGAAAACAGATCGAGGCGTCGGTCAAACAAAATCATACCAAGCACATGCGTTTGTTCTTCCGTTTGGTGAAGCTGACTGGATCAGATCCTGGAGAACTGGTGAGCTGGAGGAAGAAGTTCAAACATTGATACCAAGCTCCTATTTGAGTGGTTACATCAAATTGGTTGAAGAGGTCAATCAGGAGAGGGACAACGAGGTCAGCTGAAATAGAAGGAAAGCAGTTTAATCTTAAAGGTCTCGGCGGGTAAAAAAGTACTACTATCGGTTGAAAATTCGTATGGAAAGCGTATTCGTGGTAAACAAAGTAGTCTAAGAGGGGGAATTTCGAAGTAAATTGGATGATGGTGAAGAACATTTGCGCCGAACGCAGAGAACACAGCATGCATCTCCATCTCTCCAATTCTACTGGTTATAGATCCCATCTATGTAAGTACGTTTTCAATATTATAAACTTGGCTACTTATTCCATTTAGGTAGGCGCGTAATACAGCTGTCTCAATCACAGCTATCGACCTTTAGGTCACTACACGTGGTACTGTTAAGCGGCTGGATGTGAGAATTGGAGGAGACGGAATTTGCCCTGGGAAGAAGGGTCGCAGAGAAGAGCTAAGGACATAGGCACGCTTTATTCAAATTAAACGCCGTTAAGACAGTTTTAGGACTGCTATTTGGGT